TTGTCAGATTTTGATAAAAATGTTATGCTGGCCTCATACAAGTTAGGGCTGTTCCTTGTTTTTGTGTTCTCTGGAAGAGTTTGTGTAAGATTGTCATTCTTTTTTCCTTAAATGTTTGATTAGAATCTACTGGTGAAGCCATCTGGAGTTTTCTTTTTAGGGAAGTTTTTGAATTATGAATACAATTTTTTAAATAGTTTTGGGGCTATTCATATTTTCTATTTCTTCATGTCTGTTTTGATAAATTTTATTTTTCATCTAAATATGTCTTCTTTCAAAATTTTAAATTACAGGCATATACTTGTTTATAATATCCAGTGACATTTTTTTTTTCCTATCTGATGGATATGTAAGGACATTTTTGACAATGCTTATTTGCTTCTCTTTTTTTTTTTCTTGATTACTCCTTCCATGGGTTTATCAGTGTTATTAGTCTTTACTGAGAACCAACTTCTGGCTTTGTTGATCTTTATTGTATGTTTATGTTCCATTACACTGACTTCTGCTCTTTATTATTTCTTTTCATCTACTTGTTTGGGTATAATTTGCTATTCTCCATTTATTCTTCGACCTACTCTAATCTGACATCCTACCATACTACTCCACTGAAACGGTTGAAGTTGGTGGCTTTCTTGTTTTTCAGTCCAGTGGACACTTATTTGGACTCACGTTATTCTAGCTCTCAAAAGCATCTGCATAATTGCTGCACGAGACATTCTCTTTGGTTTTCATGCCCTCATACTCTCCTATCTCCTGTGTTACTGTTCTTTCCTCTTTTTCCTTTTCTGATCCCCCTTCTACCTCACATCCAAATATTGAGTTGACTTAGGCTTGGTCTCTTCTGTATCCACCCCAGGGACTGCAAACTCAGATGCCTACAAGGTCCAGACAAGAAATGTAAATGAACAATATGGAGTGATTGTTTGCATTTTCAAATGCATAGGAATATTCTTCAATTTCATAAAGAAGTATGCTCCCTCCCTTTTTTCTTTAAACACAAGACCTCTGTGATCTATCTTCCATTTTCCTAGTTTTAGAGACATGAATCCTGAGAAATATTTCTTTGCTGGAAAAACAGTGGTTTACAAATACAATGATAAATGGGAAGTGACAGTTGGCTTCAGTGTTGAGAAGACATTATGGTGAATTAGAGAATTCATGCCTTATATAAATGAGGAAGCTGCTATAGAGTTCAAGCCAAGTGTTGCCAGATTGTCCAGTTCTTTAAAAAGAAACTCGATATATAGATTTTTAAAAAATGTGAACTCCACTGCAATTTAAAAGTTCTGGCACAAGTTTTTAAAATGTGGAGATCAAAGAAATATATAATATTAAACATCTGTGGGTCAGCAGACGGGTCCAAGGACCACTAATTTATGTCCTCTGATCTATATTCTTTTTCTAAGTGACTTCATCTAATTTTGTACCTTTAAATATCGTTGATAGGCTGAAGACTCTCAAAATTAGAACTCCAGCCCTTTATATCCACCTGTCTACTTGACATCTCCCTTGAATGTCTAATAGTCATCTCAGACTTAAGATGTTCCTAACAGACCTCGATTTTTCTTCCCAAACCTGTATTATCCCTAGTCTTCTCCACCTTTAAGATTAAAATCAAGAGAGACATCCTCCCTGCTAAGGTTTGTCTAACAGAAGTGATATGATTGAAAGTCAGACACAAAAAGGCAGTTATAATATGTTAAGTTTCTTTAATGGCAGAATATGTGGAAATTCAAAGAAGTGGTTATAGAAAGCAGGAAATAACACAGCGTTCTACCAGATAGAGGTATGTGTTTCCAGATTCCCCCGAGTTACCCATGGTGATGTGTAACTATGGATATATCACCTGTATAAAATGAGGATTCTGCCATGTTTTAGAAGCTACTATTGCCTTTCTCCTGGGGAGAGGGAGATGTTAAATAGATTTCTGGCCCTTGACTCCTGCCTGATTTTTTCTGGAGTCTCTGGCTATAGACTGCCTTGCTTAACAGGTGCAAAGTACTTGGTGTAAAAAAGACTGAATGAAGTGAAGGTCATTTTCCCAAGAGCATCCTTCTGCAGGCCCAGGCTTCAGGCTTGCTTGAAGTCCCCTCCTTTTTCCTTACTATTAACCCTTTATTTCCATTTAGGAAGTATTACCCTTGTTATTTCCAAAATAGCTTTTGCATCCATATACTTCTCTACATCTCCTCCACTTCCTTCCTAGTCCAGCCCTCAAGCGTCTCTTATTTGGACCTTTGTAGTAGCCTCCTGACTGGCCTCCCTACTTGGACTCATATACCTATGATCCCTTCTCCATAGAGTAAGCACAGTGATCTTTTAAAAATGCTAATCTGATCATCTCAGTCCCCTGCTTGAAAAGCCTCCATTGCTTCTTATAAAACCAAGATGTCTTAATTACTTTTGTGTTCCTAAGGACTCACATGCTCTTGCCTCTCTCAGCATCTCTGGTTTTGTCTCCTTTTCTCTTCCTCTTACTACTTTGCGGCCTCACTGAGCCTTCATTCTGTCACTTGAACAGGACAAGCTCATTCCTGTCTGAAAGCCATGGTCTAATTTAACTGACATATAAACTCCACAGATAGGGATGTTTATTAGTTAACCTTGTTCCAGCCCAGAATATGGTCTCAGATTATTTTTTGCTCCCTGCTGCCATTGTGGGGTCATTTAAAGAATCACGGACTTTTCCATAATGTTTTATTTGCTCTGGATTTGTAAGATCCCTGAAGCTAAAATGGATGATCACTGGCCCTCGGGAAGGAGGATCCCTAAACCAGTCCTCTGTGAGTGAATCACTGAAATACAGAAAAAAGTGTTAGAAATTTTGTCTACAATGACTGATGGCATCATTCATTTCAAATTTTTACTTTCGTGTGTATTTCATAATGTCTTAACACGTTAGTATAGTGCTACATTTATATGATTTATAAATGCATATGTACATATATTGTGTATGTCCCAAACATTTCTTATGAGTCGACTAATCAAAAAATAAACAAAAAACCCAGTGACCCCTGGATTACATAATGCTAACAAAATTAAAATGTGGTTTTTTTTTTCCTTTTAAGTACAATGTTGGTAAGCCAAGGGTTTCATTATTTTCCATGGGTGGTAAGTGATGTCAAGGCAAAAAGATGTTGGCAAAAGGGGGAAATATAAGAAATTAAGACTAGATATCTTATTCTTGGGACTTCCCTGGTGGTCCAGTGGGTGAGACTCTACGCTCCCAATACAGGGAGCCCGGGTTCAATCCCTGGTGGGAGAACTAGATCCTGCATGCATGCCACAGCTAAGAGTTTGCATGCCACAACTAAGAGTCCGCATGCCGCAACTAAGTAGTCCGCATGCCGCAACTAAAGATCCCGCGTGCCGCAACGAAGATCCCATGTGCTGCAACTAAGACCTGACACAGCCCCCCCCAAAAAAGACTAGATACCTTATTCTTCAAGCCAAATTGAGTCTGCTAGAAGCAATATTCTTCCAATCATACATTCAGTATAAATTGGGTACCTATTGGAATCATAAACATTTGGATTCCTAGTGGAAAAACCTTAATTATAATACAGTGGATCTTAAGCACAATCCAGAAACAGTATTAAAAGGACAACTTATCTAGCTAGCTAGCTAGCTATTTATTTAATGTATTTTAGACAACGGAACTTGACTGAAAAGATTTTCAAAGATCTGGCCTTAGGAATTAGCAGTGAGTATTATGTCAAATTAGCAGTGCTAAATATTAGAAGTAGAGATTTTCTGCTTTTTCTTGGAGAGAGCCAGTATTATAGAGGGAGGGAATTACGCTTTAATAAAAAAAAAAAAGTGATTTGGCCACATCCAGATGAATTGTTATAGAATAGGAACCAGCAGTCAAGTTTCTTCTGGGTCTTGTTGATCTTCCAAGAAATAGACACTTTGGAAATCAAACTGGCATGTTTCCATTTGAGGATATGATAAAACAATGCCTGAGAAGGGGAATCCTAAAGCTTTTCTGAGTTAAACCGTGGTTTTACTTAGTAGAAGTCGAGGAGGAAGTCCCTCCTAATTTTTTTTTTAACAGCAACTCTTCGTGATCTTGATCTTGACTGTTTCTTCTCTGTTCTACAGATTGGGAAATTTGGGTTCCACTTCTGACTTTGCCATTATCTCTGCATGTTTAGTCAAACTGTTTCATCTGTAGCCCTTAAATTTCCTCTCCTGGAAAATAAGAAGGATTGGAATTTATTGGATGCTTAACCTGGGTTCCGTGGATAGCTTTAGGGAACCTTTAATTAATGTGAATTTTGTATGTAGATTTTTCTGGGAATAATTTCCTTAGCTTTAAGCACTTTCTCCAATTTATCTATTACATCAAAAAGATTAAAACTAGATCAGTTAAAATATAAAGTTATTTTCATTTCTTTTTATATCAGAATCCTAGCTTATGCTCAATATACATTTTTTTTATGAACAGCATTTGTGTCCATAAAATGCTGAGAAAGCACTCTGTGCTACTACGATTTATTATATTGGCAGGTACCACTTACTGATGGTACTGTATTTCCTACCTCTTTTTAAAAATCGGATCTTGAGGCAGTGATGACAAGTAAATGAGTCAAGTTACTAACATGTATGTTAAAGAGTCTAGAAAATGAAAAGAGTACATCATCATTTGGCGCTCTGCTCCTTAGCCTTTTATTTCCTTAGCTTTTTAAAACCAGTGCGTCTCACGTGACTCTGCCAATGTGCGTCCCAGTGCTGCTCTGTGTCAGCTGGTCGCTATTTATGGCCTGCTCATTTCAGGCTCATGTTTGGGCCCCCGGTAACCTCTGTTTAGGCCGCTGCTTCTTAGAGTCCATTGCATTTGTTAGCAAAGGCTCATCCTTAGGTTTGAGGCAAACTCTGGTCAGTTGTTCCCTCTGGGAAGTTAAGACTGTACCTCTTAGACTTTTTTGCCAGACTTTCATGTTGTACTTGGTCCTATGCTGGGGTGTGAACTGTGGCGCTGTTTTCCTCTGTTACAGGTGAATTCGGAAGGCAAAGCCAGTCCTCTGTCACTCCTTCAAATGGCCTCTCCAAGTGGCTTCTGTGCCTTGGTTCGCTTGCCCAGGCTGATCTGTGGAGGAAGGACACTACCAAAAACGTTACTGGACATTTTGGCAGATGGCACAATTTTAAAAGTTGGAGTAGGATGTTCAGAAGATGCCAACAAGCTTCTGCAAGATTATGGCCTCGTCGTTAAGGGGTGCCTGGACCTCAGATACCTAGCCATAAGGCAGAGGTATGGTTTGTATGAATACTGGAACCTGTAGCTGTGGGACAAATATTTTAGCAAGAGTTGTAGATTACTGAGACTCAGTAATGAAGCCTCTAAAATTCTTTAGAAGATTAGAGGCTTCTGAGATGCATATTGAATTTGTGAGGAAATATTCCAACTTCTGGGAAAACTTTAGTTACCTAGAATTGGTCTTTTTAGATGAAACATTAAAAAGGTGTCTCTATAAGCTACAGGCTGTAAACTGATGGGCTCCTTGGGCAAATTACAGTTGCAGATCTTTTGTTTTTGTTTTTGTTTTTGTCCTGCATGATATTTTGGGGAGATTTTAGTTTAAATTCAGAAGATTTAATGTAAAAACCTGTATTCCCGGCTTCTCTTGAAAAATTAGGTGATTTGACTATAGTTCTAGACGGCAGCAGTTGGCTGGAAGCATCATCCTCTTAGCTGAGCATGCTTTGTTCAATTTGCCAGAATCCCCACCCCTCCCAGCTGTCACACCCCTCTCATCGTGATCAACATTTGAATGTGCAGACCTTGCTTTCGGCCCAGAATGATGGTAGACCTAATTCTTTACTGAGAGGAAGAGATTTTCCTTTCCTTTGGAATTCTATTCCTATGGAAATTCTACCCTTTTTAAGGAAGCTGCAGTTACCTTCTCATGTATATATGCAGGTCCTCATTTTAATACTGTGGACTGAAACAGCCTCTCTCCCTGCCTTTCTCCCTGCCACTGATATTGAAGGGTTGGAGGATTTGATGAACTAAGAGAAGGCCTGATTAAAATCTATGCTTATCATAATTTTTTGGTAGTAAATGAAATTTTAGTTTAGTTTAGTAGTTTGGCTTGTGTAAATGAAACTCTTATAAAAAAAAAAAGAAACGCTTATAAATGAGGCATCCATTTTTTTGCAAGTAATACATTGAAATATTTACTGTAAAATTCTTTTAGCTCTGTAAAAGTATTTGGAGTGTAGCAGCCAAAGCCGCCTTTCGTCAGGCACCACCTCCCCAGAGCTGCCTGCTGTTACTCTGCTATTAGAGGCCATGTGTATAATGGCCAGGAGTTGACTCCAGAGCAGGCTGTGTGGGTGGGAGTCCCAGTCTCCCTCTTACCAGCTACGTGACCTTTGGCAAGTTACTAAGCCATACTGTTCCTCAGTTCTCTCATCTGAAAAGTAGAAATATAATAATGTTCCCATCTCATAGGATCGGTGTGAGGATTAAACGAGTTAAACTATGTAAAGAACTTAGAAATGGTGTTTGACATGTAGAGAGTGCTGTGTAAATTTCAACTATTACTGTCCATCGTCATCATCATCACCACCACCACCTATAGCACCACCATGATCTGATTGGTTTGTCCTTCCAGATCTCTTTCTGTCCATTTACAGTCCTCTCTATGAGTATATAGAAATTAGAAGTGCCCTTACTTATCTGGCTAAATGCAGAATGGCCAAGTGTCAAAACACAAAATTCGGCCAAAGCTGAATGTGACCGTGAACTTCTCTAGAAATAAGAATGAAGCATTTATCAGGCTTATTCATTTTTAATGAAATCTTATTAAAATTTTAAACATTCTTATTTTATTATTGAATACTTTAAAAGTAAAATTAAAATTTTTTGACATATAGTAGAAGAAATTTGACATTATAGTGCAAGAATTATACTCAGCTTTTAGCCATAGGCTGCTCCTGGTGTTTGCTGTAAGTAGTTACCTTCATTTGACTTTGGAGAGGAGCACAGATTTTCTTGGTAATGCTGTCCTCTTTGCCTCATACTCTCTGTATTTTTATTATATGTTAGCAGAGGATAATTTATTATTGAGATTGTTGTATATGATTTTGGAACCTTTCCTAGTGAAACTTTGAAGTAGCAAAGGTGGCATCTTGTTTTTAATCCATCCTCAAAAAATGTGAAACCTTCCCAAATAGGACGTTTAAAAAAAGACTAATGGGGCTTCCCTGGTGGCGCAGTGGTCAAGAATCCTCCTGCCAATGCAGGGGACACGGGTTCGAGCCCTGCTCCAGGAAGATCCCACATGCAACTAACAACTAAGCCCGCGCGCCACAACTACTGAGCCTGCACTCTAGAGCCTGCGAGCCACAACTATTGAGCCCATGTGCCACAACTGCTGAGCCCGCACACCTAGAGCCCATGCTCCGCAACAAGAGAAACCACCACAATGAGAAGCCCAAAAAAAAAAAAAAAAAAAAAAAAAAAATATATATATATATATATATATATATATATATATATATATATATAAAAAAAAGTAAAGATTTATGACCACCCCAAACCCCACACCCAGAGATAACATCACTAACATTTGATTAATATCCTTCTAGTTAACTCTTTATGCTTCCTCTCTCTCACATACCTAGAATCACATACACACATTTATTGTGTAGTGTATATATATATATTAATATAGAGTTCATATGATGTTTTCTTTCATAATCTTTTGTTACTTAACTAATACATCATGGACATCTTTTCACATCAATATAGATCTACATCCTTATTTGGAATAGCTATGTGGAATTTAATTGCATGGATATTTAACCAGTCTTCTGTTGAGGATGTTAGGTTGTTTCCAGTTCTTTGCTACTATAAATAGTGCTGTAATGAAGATTGTTTTATGTACATTTGTCTTAGGATAAATGACTAGAAGTGGAATTATTGAATCACAGAATTTTCATGTTCAAAATTTTGATAGCTATTTACTGACAAACTGTTTTTCATAAAGGTTATACAAATGTTCAATGCACAAATTTTAGATTAGATGGTGATTCTTCATGTTCCACCAATACTAGATATAGTTATTTAAAAGAAATCTTTGTAATCTGATAGACTTTAAAATTGTATATACTTTTTATTTGGTTTGATGTAGTGAAATTATGTGTCATTTGTTTATTGGCCATTTGTATACCTTTTTTGATTTGCCTATTCTTGTCCTTTCCCATTTTTAACACATGATGTTATTTATTTCTTGTAGAAACAATTTGCTCTCTAATGGGCTTAGCCTGAAATCACTCGCTGAGACTGTTTTGAACTTTCCCCTTGACAAGTCCCTTCTGCTTCGTTGCAGCAACTGGGATGCTGAGAATCTTACTGAGGATCAGGTACTTATCAGAGTAGTTGAAGAGTGGAAGAGTCATTGCTTGTGAAATATAATTATTTTAAAAATTCTAATCCTCAAAGATGATATGTGTTGGGCAGAAATGCCTTAAAATAGCCTCATGGATTATACACAAGAAAAATGCTCTATAATAATGTAGATGCTACTTAAATAAAAGGGTAAGAGTCCCCATTCTGTTTTTTTGGAGCATTTACTATATGCCAGGCATTTCAGAAAATGGAATTTTTTTTGTCATGAATACAAATGCATAATTTAAAAAACCAAAGTGTTATAAGACTTATTATAAGAAACAGCCAGTAGTTCCCTGCCTTCCTCCCCCATTCCTAATTACTCTTCCTTCTTTTCAGAGGCAACTGATTTCATTTCTTTCTGGTAATTACCATTATCTTTTAAAATTACATGCATATAGTACTCTTTCTTATTTTACATATTATCTTTTGACTTCTTGCTCTGGGAGACATGATTTAGTATAGTACTCTTGCAATTCCTGTATCCCCAGACAGATACTTATTCCCTTCCCCATGCTCCCAATAGAGGTAAATCATCATTTTTATCAGGTTAATATCTACTTATATTGATATTATTTATAGCTGCTCCACATAGCAAACTGACTAAAGTAACTGTTTTTTCCTTGTACAACTTTTTGTTTTCCCAGGAGTAGTAATTTATATTTTTGTTTGCTTAGTTTTCTATATACCTGTTAACTGTTTCAACCGCAGACTCCAACAGAACTATGTAGCGATCTCCTTTCTGCTGCTTGAGACACAGTCAGGTAACTTACTCATTTCATTTTCCCTTGGAGCTAGCCCTGCTAGAGCTCTGTCATCCTGCTCCTTTCAGGACTGGTGGCACTCCAGCCCTGCTGCCCAACTCTCATCCTGAAATTTGCATTTACCGTCAACCTGGGAATTCCCTTCACCTCTCTTCTATAGTAGATCCTCTGTTTTAAAAATATCGTGTCTTTTTACTTTCTTATCTTGGTGGAGTACCTTCAGAATAGCTTCTTGAGGAAAGGAGCATGGGGAGTTAATTTATGACACATGCATGTCTGAAAAGATATTAGTTTCCCTCTCTATTAACTGATAGTTCGGCTGAGGGATAGCATTTTAGGGTGGAAATCATTTTCCTTCAGAACTTTGAAGGCAGTGCTCCTTGTAGCTTCCAGTGTTGATGTCGAGTATGTGACTTGTTTTTCTTTCTGGAAAATCTCTTTATTCTTAGTTTTTAAAATTCATGATGATAGTGTGGGCCATTTTTCATTATAGTTTTACAATTCAGTGGACCCTTTCGATCTGTAAGCTCATGTCTTTCAGTTCAGGGAATTATTCTCATACTATTTCTTGGAAATTTTCCCTCTTTTTTGTTTCTAGATTCTATATTGAATCCCTTGAATTGATCCTCTAATTTTCTTAGTAAAATATTTTCTCTTTGATTTTCCATCTCTATATTTTTTGTTTTACCTTCTGGGAAATGTCCTCAAGTTTATCTTTCAGTATTCCAATAAACTTTTAATTTCCTATCATATTAAGTCATAAGAGCTCTTGGTCTTTTCTCAATATTCGCTTTTAAGATAACTTTGCATTTTTGTTTAATGGATATCATAGCTTCTGTTATCTTAGAGTATTGAAGATTTCTGAAGTTTTCTTCTCTTTCCTGCATTGCCTCTTTTTACTCTGAATTTCTAATTTAAATGTTTGATTTGGTCTTTGTCTTCCACGTTAAAGATTTTTCTAAAATGTTTAGATCCTTAGCTATCCATTTTTGTTTACAAAGGAGACATTAAAGAGCCAATTGAATCTATCAGTTAATGAATGAGTAAATAAAATATGGTATAGCCATACAATGGAATATTATTCAGCAATAAAAAGCTACAACATGGATGAGTCTTGAAAACATTACGCTAAGTGAAAGAAGCTAGTCACAAAAGATCACATATTGTATGATTCCATTTATATGAAATATTCAGAACAGGCAAATCTATAGAGACAAAAAATAAATTACTGGCTGCCTAGGACTGGAAGAAGTGGGGGATGACTGATAAAGGATATAAGTTTTCTTACTGGGCTACTGAAAATGTTCTAAAACTGACTGTGATAAAGGTTGAATAATTCTGTAAATAATTCTAAAAATTTTAAATAAAATTCTGAAATTTCTGAATCCTGCAACATCTGTAAAAGACATCTTTGGGACTGTTGGAGACATTAGAATACAACTGTTAAAGTTCTTGGGTGTGATAATGGTGTTGTGATTATGTAGGAGAGTGTCCTTGTTCTTAGAAGATACACACTAAAGTTTTTAGGGATGAAGTAAATATCATAATAGCTGCAACTTAATTTTGAAAAGTGTTCAGCCCCCCCCCAAAAAAAAGTATTTGTGTGGTGTATGTATTGAATTATAAAGAGATAAAGCAAATGTTGACAATTGTGTCAATTATCATTCTTTTAACTTTTCCTTAGGTTTGAAATCTTTCAAATAAAACATTGGGAAGAAAAAGTTAATTGCTACCAAATTTGAAACCAAATTTGTGATCCATATTATTGTGAGAATTCAGAATTTCCAAAGACTCTTATTCATTCTTCATTTAAAAATTCTTGTTTTTCTAATTATAAACATAATGCTTAATGAGCTTTTGTAAAATACAGAAAATAATATTTAAATTTGACATTTAAAAAAATGGAATGAGGGCTTCCCTGGTGGCGCAGTGGTTGAGAGTCCGCCTGCCGATGCAGGGGACACGGGTTCGTGCCCTGGTCCGGGAGGATCCCACATGCCACGGAGCAGCTGGGCCTGTGAGCCATGGCTGCTGAGCCTGCGCGTCCGGAGCCTGTGCTCCACAACGGAAGAGGCCACAGCAGTGAGAGGCCCGCGTACCGGTAAAAACAAACAAACAAACAAACAAAAAAACAGACCCAGAAGAGAGTAAGCTCTAAAAATCTCAGAGAGATGAAGTCAGATCCATGATCAAACTGTTTCTGAAACTGGTGCTTTTCAATGATAAAATATGTTCCCTGCATTGCTTAAGTACATTCTAGTTGAATTTATCTAATTTGCAGCATTTTGGCTGCTGTAGAGTCATACAACTATGAATTTAAATCTGTAATCTATTAAAATAGGTAATACTGTGTAAAATAGGGATACAACTTACATACTTCCCACAACGGAAGAGGCCACAGCAGTGAGAGGCCCGCGTACCGTAAAAAAAAAAAAAAAAAAGGAATGAGAGCACAGAGCATATGGCCAGGTATTTTTGACTAGCGAGTTTTATTATCAGTAACTATTAATATAAATTAAAGTCAAATGTCAGTAACTGTAAGTCTTTTCTCTCAGGCCACTCAGTTTCTCCAGACATGAATCTCCTACTCTTCTGCCCAAGAGGTTTCAGCCCCACAGCCTATATTCTGGTAGCTGAGTGGGAGAGAAGGTGATGGTAGTCTCATCATTTAATATGTAGATTTTCCCATAATCCCCCTTTTTCCTGGTGACACTTTGCCCCCAACCTCTGCCATGCCTGATATTACTAGGTCCAGATCCTCTGTGATTTAGCTACTATATGACTTAAACTTGTCAAAACCCAAACTCTGCACACCGAGTAAAACAAAGCAGAAATATGAGTTTATTGCAACAGTTTTGACCTGTAAGCTGGGAAACTCAAGGCCATGGGAGCAGTGAGTTTCAAGTAGCTCACAGACTAAAGGGTTTTCATTGGGTAAATGTGGAAGATTTTTGGCTTTTTCAGCTGATTGTTTGCCTAGTGGTCTTCTTCCTTATTTGGATCAGGATAGCTGAGACAGGGGAATAAGGAAGTCCAAAGATGGCATGAACAGACTCAGTGTTTGGAGATTGACTGACATCCTCTGCTGATTTCTGAGGAGAGCTGTAAATTCCTGCAAGTTATGTTAAATAAAGTTTCATTTTCTTTAATGCGCCTGCATTGGCCACCTCCATTTTGTCTCTGACATAAGTGACTCCATTTTAGTTTTGGTTCTACAAACCTTTACTCTTTTGGGTCAGGGAAGGAGTAATTGCCTCTCCCTATGCTGTAAGAGAGGAGATCTGGGGTTGTGTTATTTACAGAGACTGTCACCTGATCCTCCTGTTTTCACCCCTGCTTGTATCATTGCTCTTTTAGATACCTGGTGCCTCACATTCTTTATACTTTGCCATTCTTTGTGGCTCAGATTAATTTGATTTTTGGATTTTTTGCTTGCTACCCCCTACAGGCCTAGGTTTCAACCTTCTCTTGTTTGCTTAGTTTGTTACCATTTGTTTGTTCATCCTTCTAAAACATTGTGTTGTGGGTTTTTTTTTTTTTTTTTTTGGGCCGCACCACATGGCATGCAGCAATCCCAGTTCCCGACCAGGGGGAACCCACGCACCCTGCAGTGGAAGCGCAGTCTTAACAACCAGACCACCAGGGAAATCCCCCCAAACATTGTTAATGGAAAGAGTTAGCAATAGTTAGTATCTTAGGATTAATATTATCCTGTGAGAGAGTTCTGGGAATCAAGGTATCTGATTTTTTTTTTTCTAAAGCTATTTCACATTTGCTGCGACCCTGAGTAAGTTGCTTCTTTGTGCCTTGGTTGGTTCATTCCTTCCTTTCTTTTAATAGTTTTATTGAAATATAATTTACATACAATAAAATGCACCCATTTAAAGTATACAAGTCAGGGACTTCCCTGGCAGTCCAGTGGTTAGGACTCCGCCCTTCCACTGCTGGGGGCCCGGGTTCGATCCCTGGTTGGGGAACTAAGATCCTGCAAGCCAAAAAAAAAAAAAAAGTATACAAGTCAATGGATTTTAGTATATTTACAGAGTTGTGTAACCATCACCACAATCTAGTTTTAGAACATTTTCATCACCCCAAAAGAAACCCCATACCCATTAGCAGTCACTTCCCATCTCACCTCCCCAACACCCCAGCCTTAGGCAACCGCTAATCTACTTTCTGTCTCTATAAATTTGCCTGTTCTGGACATTTCATGTAAATAGAATCATACAGTATGTGGTTTTTTTGGATTGGCTTCACTTACCATGTTTTTGTGGTTCATCCATGTTGTAGCATCTATTGGTGCTTCATTTCTTTTTTATTGCTAAATAATGCTTCATTGTATGGATAGACCACATTTTGTTTATTCGTTTATCAATTGGTAGAGATTTGGGTTGCTTTCATTTTTTTAGCTGTTATGAATAAGCCACTATGAATATCTGTGTATAAGTTTTTATGTGGGTAAATACCTAGGATGGAATTGCTGAGTCATATGGTAACTTTATGTTTAACTCTTTGAGGAACTGCCCAACTATTTTCCAAAGCAACCATACCATCTTATAGTCCCAGCGGCAATATATGAAGGTTCCAATTTTCCATAACCTTACCAACATTTATTATTATTCATCTTTTTGATTAGAGCAATCCTAGTAGGTGTGAAGTGGTATTTTGTTGTGGTTTTGATTTATATTTCCCTAGTGACCAATGATGCTGAGCATCTTTCATGTGCTTATTGGCTATTGGTATATCTTCTTTGGAGAAATGTCTGTTCAGATCCTTTGCTCACATTTTAATTGTGTTGTTTGTCTTTAAATTGTTGAATTTTAAGAGACGTGTGTGTGTGTGTGTGTGTGTATTCTTTATGTATTCTGGATACTAATCCCTTATCAGATATATAATTTATAAATATTTTCTCCCATTTTCTGCAGATTGTCTTTTCACTTACTTGATGGGATCATTTAAAGCACAAAAGCTTTTAATTATGATGAGGTCCAGTTATCTATTTTTTCTTTTATTTCTTTTTTCTTTTGGTGTCATATCTAAGAAATCATTGCCTAACCCAAAGTCATGAACATGTACTCCTCTGTTTTCTTTTCTTTTTAAATAAATTTATTTACTTATTTATTTTTGGCTGTGTTGGGTCTTTGTTGCTGTGAGTGGGCTTTTTCTAGTTGTGGCGAGCGGGGGCTACTGTTCGTTGTGGTGTGCGGGCTTCTCATTGCGGTGACTTCTCTTGACTCTAGGTGTGCGGGCTTCAGTAGTTGTGGCTTGCAGGCTCTAGAGCGCAGTCTCAGTACGGTTAGTTGCTTAATTGCTCCGCGGCATGTAGTATCTTCCCGGACCAGGGCTCGAACCCGTGTCTCCTGCATCGGCAGGCAGATTCTTAACCACTGTGCCACCAGGGAAGTCCCTCCTATGTTTTCTTCTAAGAGTCTTATGTTTGGGCTCTTACACTTAGGTTCATAATCCATTTTGAGTTAATTTGTGTGTGTGGTGTGAAGTAGGAGTCCAACTTTATCTTTTTGCATGTGGACATCCAGTTGTTCTAGCACCATTTGTTGAAAAGTGCCTTGGATTCCTTATCATTTGGAAATAATTTGTTAAAAATCATTCTGAACTCTTCACGTTCAAGCACCCTCTTTTCCTGTGGGAGACAACTTGCTGACAGAGATGTAGATGGTTGGGTCTAGGTGGAGAATTTTACCCAAACCTTCTTTTTCTATTCTTTTGTTCTATTATTCTAAAAGCACACCAAAAAATCCATACTAAGAGTGTTATTTACCAGGCTTGATTATTAAAGGTGAATTAAAGGAATTTTAAAGTCCTCACATGCTTTGTTGGGAAGAGCTATTAATTATAGTTTTGACAACTTTTATTTATGACCAGCTTGCCTGTGCCTAGTTGCTTGGGTGAATGACTTACTATTAATAAATACATAAATTCCAGAAGTGGGCCCTTGTGACCTTTGATTTGAGGTCCGTGTCTGAAACTGTTTTCCTTGTTTTACACATTGTATTAATATGTACAGCAGTTTGTTTCTGATCAACAGTCACACAGGCCTCTTAATGAATCTTGGTTTCAGTTTTCTAGATGATGACAGTTTCCAAAGTGAAGTTGTCAGACCTGTGGTAACTACCCTACCCCAAACTTGAGAAAAATCTGTCCAGCAGGTTTGGTAGCAGATAGAAAGAAACTTCACTGATTTATATAGATTAGGAATTTTGAGCACATAGAGTAGGTCATTATTTTAGCTATGTTAGTTAAAAACATAGAGAACGTGAGGATTCATTATACTATCTGATTTGTTTTTGTATCATTTGAATTATTTTGTAATTAAAAGGTTTTAAGGAGTACATGGTGCCTGGGTTACTGTACATCTTGAATTGGAACCTAGAAGTTGTCTGTGTCTTGGCGACTGATTTTGAAATTACTCTCTCTGGTTTGCCTTCCGGATTCCACTGATCTCTGACTTTTCTCTTCAGGTAATTTATGCTGCCAGGGATGCCCAGATTTCAGTGGCTCTCTTTCTCCATCTTCTTGGATACCCTTTCTCTAGGAATTCAACTCTAGAAGAAAATGATGACTTCATTGGCTGGAGAAAAGCCTTGGAGAAATGTCAGGATGTGGTAGATATCCCATTCCGAAGCAAAGGAATTAGCAGATTGGGAGAGGAGGTTAATGGGGAAGCAACAGAATCTCAGCAGAAGCCAAGAAATAAGAAGTCAAAGACCGATGGAATGATGCCAGGCAACCACCAAGGGAGAGACCCCAGAAAACATAAAAGAAAGCCCCTTGGAGTGGGCTATTCTGCCAGGTAACTGAGTTTTTCCATGTCTAGTAGAGTCCAAGGCCCAGCTTCCAGCAAAAGGCACGATGCCTTACCTTGGCTCTGGGGAGAAGGCTAGTGCAGTAAGGTGGCATAGGCTCTCCAAGGATTAATTCTATTTTTCCTTTCCTTCGAAGGCATTTGGAGCTATCCTTTGATTTATTTGTATATTGTTTCCTTGCCTCTACTGCAGAAAGATGACTAATAAGTACTTTGGGGTGGAAGTTTGGTCCCTATAGTAAAGTGCCTTTAGGAATTGTGTGATTAAATTGAAGCAACTATTGCATATGAGCCAGAAATAAATCCACGTGGCACCCATTACTTTAGCTTGAAGTTCTTTCATTTTAATTTACTTTGTTAATCCAGTGATTACAGGGAAGTTTTCCTGGTGTTCTGTTCCTGCTTGCTTTCATGATAGAACTATGTAAACACTACCCAACTCACTCCCTAATGTTCCAACCTATAAATATAAAAACTAATAGTATAAACTGATTCATTTTAATTTCTCTTTCCTAGCCCAGTGCAGATGGAGGAATAAACATGATTTCTTGCCATTTTTTTTTTTCCAAAAATGTAATGTTTGACCCTAGTGTTGAATAGTTTGGGTCACTCAATATAGGAAGGCAACTGGTACCTTGATCAACAGTTAGCTCCCAGTTTTAGATTTCTGTCTCCCTTCCCCACAGAAAATCACCCCTCTATGATAACTGCTTTCTCCACGCCCCTGATGGACAGCCCCTCTGCACTTGTGATCGAAGAAAAGCTCAGTGGTACCTGGACAAAGGCATTGGAGGTTTGAGATTCCGCTGTCGTATTAGATTTGTAATTAGGTGCATGCAGGCACTGACCGGAGTGGGCATGGGATAAGGCAGAGGGATGGGATGGATAGAAGGCAGAGAGACCTAGAGACACGTGGGATGGGGCTGTTCAGAACCCAGAAATAGTGATCTCTGCCAGGATACAGCACAGAACAACTGAGGGGGTGCTCCTTCCTTGTGGGAGGGGTGGGCAGTCAGACACTAATACTGCTTCTTTCCTCTAAGAGCTGGTGAGTGAAGAGCCTTTTGTGGTCAAGCTACAGTTTGAACCTGCAGGGAGACCTGAATCCCCGGGAGACTACTACTTGATGGTTAAAGAAAACCTGTGTGTAGTGTGTGGCAAGAAAGACTCATACATTCGGTGAGTGTGGGCTGGGCTGCCCTGTTGTCTGCCTCTGATGGAAATTGCCCTTCAAGCCGCACGCAGAGCCCTTGGCGGGCTTGACCCAGTCTGCCTACTTTGGCTGGGAGACTTGTCCCCAGGGGGCATCCCAGTGTCCTCAAGAGCGTCAGCACTCTGCCTGGCCTTGCTGTAGTGGCTTCTGCCCCTCCTGAGCCAGTTCTTAGTTCCTGGAATAAAGCACTCTTCTCGATAACAGTTTGCCATGAAGAGAGTCATTCCCTTTGCTCATGAAGGAATGGAGACCTTCCTTCCTTAGGAAGCTGCCTTTCTCTCTGTGTCCTCATGATTCTCCCTTGAGTGGCTTACAAGCTTTGTGACCCTTGATATATGGGTATCCAGATGACCCGAAGGCACAGTCCAGAATGGTCTGAGAAGATTATGCTGCGTCAAGGTCCCCAGGCAGTGAAGGTGAAGTTACCACTGGTCCTGGGTGCCTAGAACCCTGGCTTTCTCCCTGGCTTCTGTGTAGCAACTCGCTTGCCTCCTTTCTCCGCTTGCAAAGTGTGACAAATGGTTGTTGCTGCCAAGAGGTTTCCCTGAGAGCTTAGTTCTCCTTAGACAATAATGATGGACTTTGATGAACCAGGGAAACAATTTTAGAGTAAGGGATTCTTCAGGTGAAGGAAATGGGCTTTTACAGGTCACCAGGCTTCCAAAGTTTCAGGAGTAGCAGTTACCTGCTGTGTGCTTTGAGACAGTCGTTTTCCAGACGTTGAAGGCCATTAGAATTTCTTTTCATTTCTCGGATGACACTTTTCCTTCTGGGAGCACAGCCTTCCCAAAGATTGTTATTAGCCTCTCCCTGCCCCTGGCCTGGCAGAGGAGTCTGACCGCCGGTGGCCTGCACTCAGGAGAGGAGAACCCAAGGCCTGTATGTAGGTGGGCCAAGAATAGGTGGTATGGCCTTTTTTTTTTTTTTTTTTTTT